TATAATAAAATTACTTTTTTTTTCTTAAGTTTCTTTTTTTTTTTACAAGTCATACGTTTAGTTGGTGATTTAATTGAATAAAAAAAAAATACTCATACATTTAGGAGAGAACCAGAAGTTTTTAATTCTCTATTATGATTTGCTGTGAACTTCCTAATGTGTGTTTTTTCTTGTACTGTCCACTTTATACCCTTCAAAACTAATTGATGTGTTTCCTGTTTCTGTAGGTTGTGTATTAAACGAGGATAATTTCTCAATGAAATGCAGAAAGCACAAGGTATATGTGAAATGTTTTTAGACGAGTTAACATAAAAATATTCAACTATTTGATTAATGCATTTATTTTTATTTGAACATTTTTTACTTAAGATGCTAAATATTACAAGCATGTTGTGCTTTTTGTGAATTCCTCAGATTTTTCTCATTTCTTTTGTCTGATGCGTTAGAACAAGTCCATTAAAGCATCATCAAATCGTCAAATCAGCAGGTGACAGGAGAAAGAGGACGCTATGCGAGGTTTGAGTGCTTCACATTTAACTGACTCAATACATGCATACTGTATTTTCTGGAAAATAAGTCACATGTGACTAAGTTAACTCTTTCCTCGCCATTGACGGAATTTTCTGGCTTTCCGTGTTTTCACTGCTGTACAGTAGGAGGCGCTATTACACAGCTTCTGAAAGAGAACTGAACGTCTGGATCAAAACACCGTGAAGGAGCAGCAGAAACAAGCGTATGCATAAAATAACGCGAGCATCAAGCATTAAACAGCATATAAATCAAAACTGCCTAATGTTACCGAATAAAACGTCGATCCATGAAGTGAGGGCTTTGATGTGTTGATGGATTGATCATCGTTCTGAATCTGATCCAGACGTAGTCTTTTACAAACACGCACACGTTTTGTTCGAAATGTTGCTTTTTTCATGAAACTTGCCCACATTCAAGTGTTGATAAAAAAGACTGCATGACACTAGAATAAAACAGGTTTTTTGTTTAAAAGCAGAGGCTCTTTTCTTTGTTTTGACATGTTGCATGTTCAGATATTCATACGACAAGATATTCTGGGGGCCATTAAACTTTTGTGAAAATTATCAAAAATGCAGACGGTGACTGACAACTTTAAAAAAAACAAAAAAAAAAAAAAAAACTGGCGGGGAAAG